GAACAAAAAAAGACAATATGTCTTCCTTTTTCTTCCTTATACACTTGTTTTTGGGTGGGAATTTTCCCCTTAATGATCTCCTATTTCTTTTTTGTCACATGTTTTACATATGGCAGCCACATGAGGCATGGATGCCACATCATTATGATGTGTAAATGTAATGCCCACGTAGGTAAAAAAAAATGAGAAATATGGACGAAAAGGAACCAAAGACAACCGATTAGAAAACTTTTTCAACTTGGTTCACTCAATTAATAATGACTAAAAAATACACACTTTATTAGAAAAAATCAATAAGTTAGTACACAACTGGAAAAAAAAAAAAAAAAAAAAAAAAAAAAAACCTAATTAGTGATGGTTTTGTAGTGATGATTTTAAAATTATTACTAAAACCATGGAATAACGATAGTTTTAAGCAATCCGTAGCTATTTTTTCTCATAAAAATTGTTTTAGCGATGGTTTTAAAAACGGTTGCTAATTATGTCAAATTTGACCATTTTTAGGGATGAATTAAAAAAATCATCTACAAAAAGCTAATTCTTTTAGGAATTAGCAAAGGTTTTAACTAAATCCTCGGTAATTCTAAAAAAAAAATAGGATTTTTGTGATGATTTTTTAGAAACCATCGCGAAGAACCCTTTTACCGATCGCTTTTAGCAACAATTTTATAAACCATCCCTAAAATCATTTAACAAAAAATCCCAAAAACTATTAGGTTTAGTGATAGTTTTTTTGCTTAAAACCTTCATTAAACTCCAAAATTAGCGACGATTTTTAGAAATTGTCGTTAATTCATAGCCATTGAAGGGAAACAAATTTTTTGAAAAAAATAATAATTAGCGATAGTTAGCTAAAAATTAAAGTCCTTAAAACCTTGTGCCCCTAAAATGTTTTCGCATTTTTCTTCGTCTCTTCTTCTTCTTCTTCTTTATAGTAGCTACGACTTTATCCCCTTCCTCATTCCCCATGCAATCAAGGCAGCACTTCCCTCCAAGCCCCTTTTTCTCTTCTTTGTTTCTTCCCCTCCATATCTTCCTTTTTCTTCTTCTATCTCTCATTTTCTCCTCCTCCTCCTCCATTCCCTCGCTCTTCGTTATGAACAATGGCATAGCAATAGCTCCTCCTCCTTGTTGACGAGCAAGTCCTCCTCTACTCCTCCATTTGTGTAATTAGTAACTCATTAAGTTTTTTTTTTCATTTTTTTCAATAATTTTATACTTGTTGTTTAATAATTTATTTGTTAATTATAGTTATTTAATTTTTTTATTTATTAATTGTTAGTTGTAGTTTAATTTATTTTTTTATATTTAATTTGTTAGTTGTTAATTAATTTAATTATTTTTAAAAAAATAATTTAAATGTTAGTTTATTTAATTATGTGTTAAATAATATTATTTAGTTGTTAATTAAATTGAGTTTTTGTTTGTATTTAAATACTTTAATATTTTTAAAAAATATTAATAGGTACTAGTTTAATTAATCATGTGTTAATTAAGTGATTAACGTGTTAATTACATTATTTTAGTTTGTGGCTAAATAAATTATTTAATTATTTTACAAAATTAATTATTTGTTACTTTAATTGTATAGGCGTTAATTAAGTTTTTTATTTGTTAAATTAAGTCAATTAGTTGATAATTAAAATATTAAAATATTTTTTAAAAGAATTAATTAGGTAGTTAATTAAGTAAATTAGTGTATAATTAAATTATTTAAATTTTTTAAAAATATATAATTTCATATTAGTTTAATTAATTTGATAGTTAATTTATTTTCTTAATCGTTAAATTAAGTCAATTAGTTGATAATTAAAATTTAGGTAGTTAATTAAGTAAATTAGTTTACAATTAAATTATTTTAATTCTTTTTGAAATATATAATTATCTATTAGTTTAATTAATTTGATACTTACTTTAGTTTTTTAATTGCGACTTACTTTAGTTTTTTAATTGCTAAATTAGTTGGTAATTAAAATATTATAAATGACGTGGCACGTCGAACATCAAATTGAGGTTGACATTATGAGTCATTGCTTTGACTCTTTTACATGGCATTATTTTGATCAAACACGTCCTTCTTTTACATTCAAAATTAGAAATGTCGGATTGGGAGTCTATACTAATGGATTTCAACCTTTTGGTCTATCTAGACAACAATATTCTTTATGGCTTGTAATTATAACACCTTATAATTGCCACTCGTGGAAGTGTATGAACAGAGAGTATATGTTCTTAACTCGTAATTATTAGCAAAATCAACCTAGATCGTACTTACAACCCTTTATTAAAAAGTTGGTTGATTTGTAAAAAGTTGGTGTGCTTACTTATGATGTGTCTCGTACGTAGAATGTTCGGATGTGAGTTGTAGTCATGTGGATAATCGGTAACTTCCCACATATTCAATATTGTTAGGTTGGAGTACTACGGGTAAAACAAGTACGCCCTTATTATAAAAAAATTCATATGCTTTCAGCCTCCATAATGGCAAAAAGACTTATTGGTTTGACAGATCACCATAAATTTCTACCAAAAAATTATCCTTTTAGGAGGAATATACATGCGTTCAAAAGAAATACGTTTGTCACGGACATTTCTCCCCCGATCATGTACGGAATGGATATTTTGTATGAAATAAAAAATTAAGAGTGGTTGAAAGTCATAGAAAAGGGTTCCAAAGAGTGTAACGACGAGTATATCTAAACGAAGTATATTCTAGGATCTTCTTTACTTGGAGTTCCAATTTAATTCAACACAATTTGAATGTGATGCACATTGAAAAAAAATATATTCGATAATGTGTTTAATACGGTTATGAGGGTACTAAAAAAACTAAATGCAATGCTAACTCTAGAAAAGATTTGAAACTTTAATGTCGATGGCCGAATTCAAAAGAGATGAAAATTGTTAAAAATACCCTAAAGTGTGTTACACCTTAGACAAATAATAAAAAATACAATTGCTTCATTGGATTAAACAACTTAGTTTTTTCAACAAATATGTATCGAACTTGACCAAGTATATCGATATGAACAATCTCGGATTACATGACATGAAAAGTCATGACTATCATGTACTTATGCGAGAGGTTAATATCTACCGCATTTCGGGACCTATTACCAAAAAAATTTTTGTAAACGCCGAGCTTATTCTTTAAGGAATTGACTTTTATTATCATTAAGGTTAAATATATGAGTCATCTAGAGATAGAGATATTGTTAATTTTGTGCAAACTTAAGTGTATATTTCCACTTAGTTTTTTTTTAATGAAACATCTTTCGAGTCCACTTGATATATGAAGCAAAAATAGGAGGACCGAGTATAATGTTGGTGGATGTATCCATTTGAAAGGTAAATATATTGGTTGTGAACCCTTGATTAATTTTGGTTTTTAAAATATTTGTTAACTAACATATATATATAATATAGGTATCTTCAAAAACTAAAATATATATATATATATATATATATAAAGTTGAAAGGTCAATATGTAATGCATATTTAGTTGAAGAAGCATCAACGTTCGTTCATATTACTTCCGACCTCATATGCATACTAGGCATCGAAAAGTGCCACGTAATTATAAGTGTGCTCGAGAATCAAGTGACAACACTTAAAGGATCCTTACTATATTTAAACCGAAAGGTCGATTTCTTAGTCAAGCAAAATCACATATTTTGACAAATGAAGAAAAGTTTGTATCACATACCTACATTCTATTGAACTGTGATGAGGTGACACCATACACTAAGTGCTAAAAATAGCAAAATTTTCAATGCTCGAACTTCATTAATTATCAATTATATATAATAAGAAATTAAAAATCTTATAATTGTTTTTTCTTCGATAGCTATTTTGTGAGCCAATTTCCTTAAAGTAATCCCGACATATCAAAGCATGAGGTTGATGCTAGGCTTGAAAATGATTTTGCATCATGATTTGTCAATATATGAGTATCATGAATTTCAAATTTTTTTGTTATTAAGATTCAATGATGAAATTTTATACTCAAAGTACCTAATGAAGTTAGACATTACAAGCAAGTAATGTACAATCCAACATAATAACCGACCATTACATTAAAGATCTTGTAAAAGAGCCATTGTGAACATTTAAGTCATATCCGATGTATATTATGAACGGGTACAAGTTTCACATTGAAGGTCATGGTTTGGATAGAGCTACAATGTATAGTAGAGTGTGCATAAAAGGATTTAATTATGGTGTTGAGAAAAATGACTACTACGGTAGATTGATTGATATATCGAAAATTGAGTATCATGCACTATCAATCAATAGAACCGTATTGTTCAAATGTGATTGATATGATACTATACCCGGTGTTGGTGTAAGGGTTCATGATCGGTACGGACTTATAGAAGTAAATAGTCATAGGACATCGAATAGATCCGAACCCTTTATCCTAGCAATAAGTACATTAGGTGTATTATGCAACATATCCTACATCAAAGTGCATTAGGCATGATTGATTGATCGTATATAAGGTAAAACTCGGGACAACGGTGGATGTGCCACAATCATCTGCTACGATCCAAACAATTGCAAAATCATTTTAGGAAAAAAATATCGAAGCCCAACACAATGTCATCCAATATGAGGATGACAAGGGTCGGTTGTTAACTAATCCAATTGGATCAATAATAGATTTAGAAAGTGATGAAATTAGCAAAAAGAATTATGTTGAATTTGAAATAGATGTTGAGAAAGACTTAGATGAAAACTATAACAATGATTTGATTGAATTTTATATAATACAAAGGTTTCGTAATATTTTTAAATTTGTTTTATATCGTTATTGTAATTGTTAAATTGTATTGGATTTTATATTTTTTATCGACATGTGCATAATGAAATAATTAATTGAATATATATATATATATATATATATATATATATATATATATGTGTGTGTGTTAAAAATAATATAAAAAATTTAAAATACGATGCAAAATTTTGCCATATTTAGTGATGGTTTATAAGAGATGGATTTAGCGATGGTTTTAAGGGCTATTGCTAAAGCAACAACTCTCCAAACATTGTTGAGCAATGGTTTTATGGTTTTTTAACGATGGTTTACTGAAAATCGTTGCTAAATATTTAGCAAGAAAGCTTTTTCGAGAGAGTTTTAAACGAGTCTCAAAATCATCGCTAATTATTATTAGCAACGGTTTTCGAATTTTAGTGACGGTTTATATTGTTGCTAATAATTGTTTTTCCAGTAGTGGTACACTGAATTTGTAATTAACTCTCCAAATATTATTCTTCGATAAAATATTTATTTCAAAAAATATAATAGAATAATATAAATTTTTAAAATGCCTAGTTGTAGGGAGACCTCTAAAATGCCTATTCAAGACTAGGAGAAAATGAGATATATCTACAAACCTAATTTGATTACTTTTTATATAGACTGGAATGTTTGCCGGGAAAACATTTTCTGTAGGGATTTCTGTATATTGAACACATGAAGCCTGAGTTTATTATTCATCAATAAAATATTCATTTCAAAAAATATAATGGTTTTTTTTTATTAAATTTGAATATTAAAAACTTAATTTTATTTCACATGGGATTCCAACCAAATTTAAACAATGTTTATGTTGATTGTCATTTTCGTTCCAATTTAAGCTTAGTGGTTTCCTATGTGATCTTAATCTACAATGCATTTTCGGTCTGACAGTTTCAACTTGTACAATAAAGTTTTTAAAGAAGATCATGGGATAGAATTAGTTGTTACCATGACAAGTCATGTAACAAACTACTATCCAAACATGGACTCGTCTAATTTTAGAAGAGGCATAATTCTAAATCAAGTATAAATCAAAAGATAATTGATAATGATGATATGCATGGTGTCCAAAATATGTAATTCTAGAATTTGTGGATACTGGTAATAGCCGCCTGTCATTTCCTTGTCATTATCTCTAGCCTTTACTTAAAAAATAAAGCCCATATTATGCCTTTCTCATTCAAGGTTCTTTTATCATTTCTTGGTCCATTATCTCTAGCCTTTACTTGCAGAAAGAAAAAACCCAAATACCGAAAAGAAATGTAAACATTAAAAACACACAGCATCCCTAAAGAACACACAGAGGGAAGAATCCATCTCTCTATCTTACCATAAACTAAGAAAATAACGCAAACAACAGAGCAAATAAATGCAAGAAATATAGAGAGAAGTTAAAAGGGTAGTATCATTTTGAATTTCTCAGAGTTTCCTAAAGATCTTCGTCCCCAAACCCTAGCTCTGCGAAAATGGACATATATATGGTGAGAGACAAATATCAGTGCTTTTAAACCCTAGAAAATTTATTGGGTTTATTCATTGTTTCAGCCCTATAAATTTGATTTTATGACGCCAGAGTCTGTATTTGTGGGCTTCTAACTTATTGGGCTGCTGAGTACCTGATCAAAGGGCTAAAATAGTTTGGTGTGTGTGTGTTTTATGTTATTATTTTTGGAGCTATGACCCGGGCTGTGAAACTTTAGCCCTAAAACTTATAGGGTATTTCTAAATTCACAAAATTTATTGTTATTCCCATTATTTTTTTTTTAGATATTTATTGACATACCTCCTTCCATGTTTCTTAAATAATAGTTTTATATGTTTTACATTAAATACCTAAAATACTCATTAAAATTAACACATGATAAAATAAACAAAGATGGTTGGGCTCACTTTGTTTTGACATTTTTCATCAAAATACCAGAAGTCTCTCATATTGTTTTGACGTTTTTCCATCTAAATACAAAAGTCTCTTCACATTAAAATATTGAATAAAAGCCATTGTCTTTGCCTGCTACAATGAAGAACAAACAAGCAAGCCTAGGAAAAATAGAACAAGAGAACCTCCAAGCAAAGCCTCAACTATAACAAAGATAGCAATTACAGTATACTCTACGCTTTTTCTGTACAACCAAACACAAACATTGTGTAAGTTCTTTTTGACTGCTTCTGTCAGCTAGAAGAGATAATCAAGATCGTTCTTTTTGCCAGGCTCTATCACAATGAATGGGTGCTCTCGCTCTCTCAAGATAGCACCACGATGTTCTTCATCCTCATTTTCATCATCTCAATCAAGGTCCATCATCAATATCTCCTCGTTCTTGTATGGTTTTGGGCTCCAATCTGAAATTGCATAGTTGCAAATAGTAAGAAATGAGAATGAGTAATTCATCAAAATGAAAGAGAGAGAGAGAGAGAGGAATTAAAACATTCTTACCAGCGATGGTAGAAACGCAAAAGGGGGAAAAGGACATCCTTAGCGTTAGGATGCTCCCACTCCATTACTGATTCCAGCAATGGTATTTGAAATATTGATACAGAGGAATCGTCAGTGGGTGTGTTTTAGACTAATTCAAAATTAAGGGTAGAGTGAGAGAGTGAAGGGATTAGGTGGGGAATTAAAACATATTAATGCTTACCCAAACCTTCCAAAAGGACGAAAGACATCCATAAGGTTAGAATGCTCCCAATCCACTACTGTCTCCCCCCATTCTTTTGAATTTATATAAATACTTATAGAAGGGGGAAGAAATGGCTGCCCCGTTGTCAAGCAACGGAAGACAAAACGGCATCTTCTTTAGCTTCCAACATCCTATTATCTTCATTTCTTGGAGAGAATAGCAAATCCGTTTTGCACTACAAATGCTTTTCAATTCTGGTAATTTTGCCAAAGACAACCTTCTTAACTTAGGGAGACTGAATTCTTCACCCATAACCCCTTCTTCGTCTCTTCTTTCTATTATCTGCTCCATTTCTTCACAACATGCAACTTCAATCACTTCCATACAATGGCTTTTATTCAATATTTTTATGTGGAGAGACTTTTGTATTTTGATGGAAAAACCATTTCTTCACAACATGCAACTTCAATCACTTCCATACAATGGCTTTTATTCAATATTTTTATGTGGAGAGACTTTTGTATTTTGATGGAAAAACGTCAAAACAATGCGATAGACTTTTGGTATTTTGATGAAAAAAGTCAAAACAAAGTGGGATCACCCATCTTTATTTATTTTATCATATGTTCATTTTAATGTGTATTTTAGATATTTAATATAAAATATATAAAATTATTATTTAAGAAATATGAAAGGAGGGTATGTCAGTAAATGTTTAGAAAACAAATGGTGAGAATAACAATTAACGTGGTAAATTTAGCAATACTCAAGCTTATAATAGCAGTACTATGTGGGGATAGCATTTTGGTCCGACTCGACGGACACCCGTTCCGATCTGCCAAAACAAAGCCCGACCTGATGGGAAGGAGAATGGGGAGGGCTTGCTTTTTCGCCCCAATTTGTATCCATCCTGCACCCGAATGTCAGAGACTCGTTCTCGACTAGATGATACAATACTCCATCCATTTTTATCCCTACTAACAATGAACTTGCATACATTAGAATTTATTAAAACTGATCAGTTAATGATGTTTTAGGTTATTAGAAAACCATAAAATTGTATGCAATATTACTTTGGCAATGAATAATTGAGATGGTTTAGCATAGACATGAAGCTTTTGGTGCATTCAAGGTAATTATACTGGGGACGGTGAAGTTATAATTGAAGAAGCCCGGCTGGCCTGTATTGCAACGACACAAAAGGGCTTGCATGTTAATTTTCCAAAGAACAGATAAGTTTAGCCTCTAGAAGTTGTGACTTGTGATGTATCATCGTCATTGCAAAATTACCTGGATTCCAAAATCAAAGAGCATCACGAATTAATGTGATGTATCATCGTCATTCCAAAATTTCCTTCTTCCCTGCAACAGGAAGGTTGTGCTCCATCGAGTAATACTTTAGGTCCCTTACTGTCAAGTCCTTCAACTGCAAAACACAGTTCCATGACGTAAGATATTACAAATAATTTCAATAAACTAAAAGCTAACTAATTTCTACAAACCAATTTTATTCAACTCTAGGTGTTGTTGACATATCTGCACAACTTTGATTGAAAATACTAAAAGTTCCCTAGTATCTTTAGTTAAAATTATTAAAGAACATTCAGAGAGAAATGAAGGGACATCGCTTCCTAACCCACTTGTTTTTTGACAAATACTTGTCAAGAAATTAAAAAGGAATTCGTTCTTCTGGTACCTGTTAATCTTGGTGGACGAATTATTGTGGTGCTGGGCAGGGTGAATACAAGGACAGGCAAGGATTTTTAAGCTCTCATACGATTCCCAATCAAGCCTACCAGTGTTTTATAACCCAACACCCCAACCCCCCAAAAGCTGGGGCTCTTGGGATAGTGTTAATAATAATAATAACAATAATAAAACTGAGATTATTCCTGGTTGTTGCCAGACTTCTAAAATTAATGCCTATTCAAGCCGAGGAGAGTATCTCTACAAACCTAATTTGATTACTTTTTATATGGACTGGAACTTTTGCCAGGAAAACAAAAATATTGACTTTTTATTAGCTATTGGATTGGAAGAAAATCAATGGTAGACAAATCATGTAAAATATTTAATTTTATATACAGTGAATCTCTTCTCTCACACGCACTGTAATCTATTGACTTGAAATAGTATTTTCATTTATTCAAATTGAAATTACTCCACTATTACGCATATGACTTCCAGTTTTAACTAAATTAATGCATAGATGAATACATTAGGGGGGAAAACAACAAAGGTTGAAATTCGTTGCTTTTTTTTTATATATATAAAAACATATAACGAAGAAATGATACAATATATAAGAGGATATTGACCAATTTTTTTTAAATTATTTCTTTGGAGAGGGGGAGAGAGAGGGAGAGAGTGATCAAAATTCGAAGGATAAAAATAAGAACTTAAAAAAAAATTCAATGTAAATATTATTAAAAGGTGCTCACTGGACGTATTTTTCGTTTTGAATCCCATTTCGCTTGGGCATTCTAAGATAGTTGAGCCAGATGTTTAAAGGACAAATATACGAAACCTATTCCCACGTCTTTCTCTCTCTTTATTTTCAATGTACTTTTTATGGTCAAATCTTTTTGTTTATTAATGCAATTCTGACTAAATTTATAGTTTAGGAACTGACATGTGATTTGTATGATAGTTTCTACCAAATGATAAGATCATAAAAAACGTAATTGAATTTTTTTTGAAAAAAAAAAAAAAAAGTTGAGAATTTAATTGGCTATAAGGACAAAATTGTTACTGCTACTAAACTTGAGGGATCAGAATATACTTTCATTCCTTAAAGCTAGATGTCATAGCAACTTTCAACCTAGCAGCGACAATTGCATCATGATGCATTCAAAAAAGGAACAAAACGAAATTAGCTTTGTCCTTTAAACCTTAATTAAGTGAAATAGGATGGGGATGGTTTTGTGCTTTAAAAATAAACAAAATTTTGTGGTTTACAATAATTAAAGTTTTCACACTCCATCCCTCTTAACTTTTTTTCATTATGACTGATGTAAATTTCTTTGATATGTTTTTAAATTACTTTGATAAGTTTTTAAATTACGACGATGTTAATTATGCTATGCCGTAAATGGTCCTTTAACCTATAAGATTAACAACCCGCGAACATAGTTTTTTATTTATTTAAAATTATTATTATTTATTCTATAATAAAAGTATTATTGTTTTTATGTTAAATTAATGAGACTAAGATGGTGTTTGATAAAACTGAAAATTAATTATTAAATCTGTTAAGTATTGAATTTTAAGTACTAAATAATTAAGTACTGAATATATTGATATTTATTAAAAATTAAGTGATGAATATAATAAAATTGTTTAATAAGTATTGTTGTTGAATATATTAATACTATATACATGATAATTTTAACTTTAAAATTATAACATAATATTTTTTAACACGAATATATATATATATATGTGTGTGTGTGTGTGTGTGTTTGTTTTTGGATGCATTTATCTCCTTATGGAATAGAATATTATTCTGCTGAATTAATGATATAAATACATTAATTGTATGTGCCTCTTTCAGTCTATAACTATATTGTCTCTATGTTTATGAGTAATTAAAAAAAAAAAATGTCAATCTTTCAACGGACGACTCTGGCACCTAATCTATAAAATGAGTGAAAGGATATAACTAAATATATAATATGTAAGTTATACTTTGTTAATTCCAGTATAATAAAATTGGATAACACTCATAAATAATAATAATAATAATACATCCGTAACTGAATCTTCTTAAATAAGAAAACGCGTAAAAACATGTATAAGGTTGTCTGTAAATTAATATAATGTCGTGTGATCCATATTTTATTAATATGTTATTTCATATATATGTATAATTATGCTTAGAGTTATGATAAAAATTAGTACGTACATGAAAGTTTTTAAAACTTGGTTTCACATAAGCCTTGCGGCATCATGATTAATACAATATCTGTTTTATTATTAGTATTATTCTCAATAGAGATCATTTCTCAATTGATTTATATAGTTAGGATTACAAGAATATATAAAGGCTATATCATCATATTTAAAAAGTTTTAAAAATCTTTTGACTGAGCGTGTTAATTTAAATGTTTTAAGTTAAAAATTTTAATTTACCTAATTAAGTGAATTTTGACTGAATTTAAATTTTAAAAATGAGATTATTTAGATTATCAAATAAACTTTTTTATATTAAGTACTACAACTTAATTTTTTAAGCTATTTAAATAAGTTATCAAACACACTCTAAGTTTTTCTCTAAATAATTTTAAAGAAGCAATCTTCACATTAACCAAACATATTAAAAAAAAATTCTTGAATGTTTGCTTCAATGTTTGAACTTAAAAAAATAAAAATAAAAAATAATATTTTTTTTAATCACTGAAACGATCCTTTAAAATTAATCATACTCCAATATTAGGATTACTCATTTCTAAGTACAATATTCACTTAAATAGAAAAATAATATCATACTTTAATATGATACGTACGTCTAAATAATTAAGTAAAACACTAAAAGATACTATTCACTTACTATTCAATAAGTGGTAGTTTTGTGATTTTTCACAATGGCTTTTTTATAATTTTTTTATAGTTTTTTGGGGCATTTATTTTCAAATTTTGCACTTCATTCCTTTTTTGTCCCATATATTTTCAAAACATATTTTTAAATTTTTATATTTTAAAAAATATTTTGACATCTCAAGTTTTAACTTAGTCCATTTTAGTCTCTTTTTTTTCAAAATATATTTTATATTCCTCGTATTTTTAAAAGATTTTTTTAGCCTTTTATGTTTTTAAATTTTAGAATAAACACATATATCAGATTATATTTTTTTTATTGATTAAAATTAACCTCTTAAATTTTTCATTTATTATAAAAATTCTCATCAAATTAATTTTTTTATCTTTTATGAAATTTATTTGTTAATAAATACAATTTATCTTTCTCTATGTATGAATTTTCAATATGTTTTTTTAATAAATAATAGAATTCACGTGTTTCTTTGCCTTATTCTTGATATAATCAATGTTTTAAAATAAAATTTTAAATTATTTTTATTACAATCTATTAACTTTAACATATTTCTTACAACTTATAATTTTTTAAACATATTTTTTTATTTGTACAAAGTATGGTAATGATGTATACAAAAAAGTATTAAGATAATTGATTTTATTAAAAATTAATTGTACATCTACGCATATAACACCAACTATTTTCTATTAATTATTTTTAATATTTTAAATTTAATTTATTTTAAAAGAACCATCTAATAATTCAAATACATGTTTTTATACCTAATATTATTGATTGTTTTGTGTGTGTTTGTGTGTGTGTTATGTATAAATATCCAATTTACATATTTTTAAAAAGTTTAAAAGGATTCATTATACAAATATTTATATTGATTGTCGATATATTTCTCCAACATAGTCTTATGAAAACAAATTGAGATATTTTTAAAAAATTTATATCAAAATTTATATTTATATTATTGTAGGTTTTTATTTAAAAATGAATAAAAAAAATGAATCTTGTTTTTTTTTAACAAAATTTATGAAAAACATAAAGAAGAGCAAATGAAATACAAAATTTGATTAAAATTTATGAAATTAAATAAAATTTTTATCTTTTATTTTTAATTTAATATATATTAATAGAAAAAACTAAAAGAATTGAGATATTTACCATTCATTTACTATTGTTTTATATTCATTGTGTTGCTTGATTTTTTGCCCCCTAAATTTTCGTTAATTTCTCTTTTGCCACTCGGTAGATTTGAGAAACTTTATTTTTATCCTTGACTAATTCTCTTTTTAATTTTCTTTTTGGGCCTTTGTTTATCATTTCAATTTTTTTTTTTTTCAGATTAAGCATTACATGTCTTCTTTCAATGTTTTTTTCTTCTTATTTTCGATGGGGAAGCCAAAGCTACTTGCTATTCAAGAGTGATTATAAATTAGTCCCTCTTTCTTCGAGAAACAAATTAATTAGTCCCTTAGGTTCAAAAACTAATTTTTTTTGCCTTTTTTACTATTTTAATGTTTTCATTTTTTGTTTTAAGAAATAGAGAAAGAATAAAAAAATATGAAAAAAAAGACATTTTATAAAATAAAAAAATTATTCGTCATCGACACTAATTACAAAAATTAAATAATTTATTTTTGAAACCAAAATAATTAAATAATTCATTTTTCAAAATGAGATGGACTAATTTATAATTTAATTTGCAATTTAAGAATCTCTTTCATCATAGATTGAGAAGTAAAATTTATGGGAACCAATTTTATGATAGTTTTTATTTCAATTTATTGACTTTAATATATGTCATTTAACTTAGATGGTTTTTTTAATGTTTGTTTATACTATATACTCCGAATCTACGATGTATGATCATAATATATATATATATATATATTGTTAAAAATTAATTATGTATCTACATACGTAACACCATTAGTCCCTTCGCTTCAAAAACTAATTTTTTTATCCTTTTTTCTATTTAAATGTTTTTATTTTTTGTTTTAAGAAATAGAGAAAGAATAAAAAAAGAGTAAAAATATGAAAAAAAGACATTTTTAAAAATAAAAAATAAATTATTCATGGATATATTCTGAATCTACTATGTATGATCATAATATATATATATATATGATTTGTTTTGTGGGAAATTAATTATCTATCTACATGCATAGGACCATAGGACCATTAGTCCATTTGGTTTAAAAATTAATTTTTTTTGTCCTTTTTTTCTATTTCAATGGTTTTATTTTTTGTTTTAAGAAATAGAGAAAGAATAAAAAAAAGTAAAAATATGAAAAAAAGACATTTTTAAAAATAAAAAATAAATTATTCATGGATATATTCTGAATCTACTATGTATGATATATATATATATATATATATATATATATATATATATATATATATATATATATGATTTTTTTTGTGGGAAATTAATTATCTATCTACATGCATAGGACCATAGGACCATTAGTCCATTTGGTTTAAAAATTAATTTTTTTTGTCCTTTTTTTCTATTTCAATGGTTTTATTTTTTGTTTTAAGAAATAGAGAAAGAATAAAAAAAAAGTAAAAATATGAAAAAAAGACATTTTTAAAAATAAAAAATAAATTATTCATGGATATATTCTGAATCTACTATGTATGATCATAATATATATATATATATATATATATATATATATGATTTGTTTTGTGGGAAATTAATTATCTATCTACATGCATAGGACCATAGGACCATTAGTCCATTTGGTTTAAAAATTAATTATTTTTGTCCTTTTTTTTTCTATTTCAATGGTTTTATTTTTTGTTTTAAGAAATAGAGAAAGAATAAAAAAATATGAAAAAAAATAAAATAAAAAAATAAATTATTCGTGATAAACACTCGATTAAAAAATTAAAAATTTTATTTTAGAAACCAAAAGAATTATTTTATTTATTTTTCAAAACGAGATGAACTAATTTATAATTTAATTTACAATTCAAGAATCTTTTTCATCATAAATTAAGAAGTAAAATTTATGGGAACCAATTTTGTTGTAGTTTTTATTTCGATTTATTGACTTTATTATATTCCATACAACTTAGATGAGTTTGTTTTTTATACTATATACTCCGAATCTACTAAGTGTATATATATATATATACACACACACACTAGTTTTGCTAGAAATTAATTATGTATCTGCATAGATAATATCAATTATTTGTTATTTATTTTTTTATATTCTAAAATTAATATTTTTTAAATAAAATAATTAAAATAATGTTTTAAAAGAACTTTTCAATTATTCAAATACAACTTTTTATGCTAATATTATTGATTATTTTATTAATAAATATATATAAATCAAACGATTTTTCTCGACATATAGATTTGATTTATATTAATTACGAAAAATAAAATTTTTATCCGTACTATACTATACGAATTATTGATTCTACATATATGATGGCTATCCGATCGTAGCATAATTCGAGTATCCTCCTAGTGGATACTCTAAAAATAGTGGAAGCTTGGTACTATATGTCCTGATGTCTCCTCAATCATTTTACATATTAATTATAAAATAAAAAATAAAATAAAAAAGTTATATTTGTCATTGATAAAGACATGGAATGGAAATATCACCGTCCTAAAATAAAAGTACAGAATTAAAATACAAAGAGAAATATTATATTATTATACGTACTCCAATCACATCCTACAATTTAAATAGGATCATAATTAATATGAAAAACAAAAGAGTAATATATTTAAACTTCGTTTTTAAATAAAAAGAAATCAAAAATATTATTTGGGGATCTTACAATATTTTATCTTGTTTATTCAAATATTTACGAATCTCACAATCTTTTAATAATCTATACCTACCTTCTACTTTTTGAAAATACATAATTTTTTTTTTTTTTGGATGATTTACATATTTGTTAAAAAGTAATATAAAAATTATTTTTGAAATTTCTTCTAACTTAGATGACTTTTTAATATAATATCAGTAAAAACCAAACAATCATGAGTTCTTCTCAAGATAATTACAAGATAATAGTGGGTTTGTGTAAATTTAAAATTTAAATAGTTTTTACTTGAAAATATATGTTAGATAGTAATGTAAAAATTATTCATAAAGTCTCAACTAACAATTTAAATTTTTAGACTTATAGTTTTTTTTGACAATTTTTGATTAAAAATATAATAAATATTTGAGAGGACCCATTTGCTTTTGCTGTATAATATAATTTAGCCCAAATCACATAGCAGGTCTTCTCAAGAAGAAATTGATACTTACGATAGGCGAAGGTTAGCAAATTAATGAAGAAAACGAACTAGCAAGGCTCAAACATTTTCTCACCGAACCCTTGTCCGGTCAAGGCCTCAATCTTTAAAAAACATTCAGATTACCAAAACTTGTAGAGAAGAGTAAGCCTCGGAATAACAATTTTTGAGCCACATGCTTAAGCAAAACCTTAGTTGGCATGCAATGTTTGGCGTGCGTTTGTGAGTTAATATTTTAATCATAATCATCTTTCTCCTAGCTATAGTACTAGAATGGAGAAAGTATGGTTTTGTATCCTTGCTTTTTCCTTCCTTGAATTTGATGCCATAACTAGGACAGAATACATGTCGGCAATTGGAGATCCTGGAATGAGAAGAGACAGCCTTAGGGTGGCAATTGAGGCATGGAATCAGTGCAATGAGGTTAGCGAAGAAGTTTCTGGCGTGGGAAGTCCAAGGATGGCAGATTGCTGTTATGTATACAATTTTATGTCCATTTCTCTTCATTCCTTGCTGAACTTATGCTTCTAATGACTGTAAAATGCAGTAAAGATTATTCACATGGTAGATGAAAGAGACAAGAAGCTTGGCATATCAAATGGCTCGTATGGAGGCAATTAGTGCCTCAAAAGCTTGGCAGTTTTGGATGATGTTGCTGAAAAGTGGAAACATTGACAAATTAGCAGCTACGTGTCAAAACGGCAAGAAATCAAATGGCATTCCCACAGGAACCTCGATTTCCATGCTTCGGCCTTCTATGTATCATAACTATACTAGTATGCAGGGGGGCAATGGTAGTCACTTGAAGGGAAGTTTCTATGGGACTTGAGACTTCAGTGTTGATCATATTTCAAAGGCAGCAACTAGTAACCGCACTTCTTACTTCAACAACATCACTTGGGAAAAGGAGATTGGTAAAGGGAGTTGGGTTTTCCATCATTTCTTAAAGACCTCATCAAATTATCCATGGTTGATGCTATACGCCGCAGAAGGATACTCTGGCGGATAACATTACCAGATCGACTAGGGGGATGTCCAAAATAGTAAGCATCTTCTCCTTCCAATTCAATCTTCAGAATGCTGACAATCAGCATCCAGTATGTTATATGTACCTAAAAGTCTTAATGCTTGTTAGTTTGGAGCTTTGAATGTGAAAAAATACTAACGGAAAATGATGCAGTCAATATAAAATTATAAAATAGCTAGAGAATAATTATTATACATTACGGAAAAAAGAAGAAGAAGAAGAAGAAGAAGAAGAAGTAAAACCATTGATTTTACTATTCATTCACTATTTGAAACACTGTTACGCACTCATAAATCACTATTACTTTCATTATTCATGACATTTTTGTAACACTTTGATCCTCAAATTGTTTATATTTTTTTTTCAATTTCAAACTTTAATTGTATTGTGATTTGGTCCCATTTTATTTTAGTATTTTTTTAATTATTTTTATTATTTAAAATTTACTACTTTAATTTGTCATTTTTAAAAAAATTCTCATCCAATTAATTTAAATTTATATTTACTAACAGTTTTGGTTTATTTTTTATATATATGAATTTTGAAATAAATTTTTAGAACATGATTATTTTTTCTTTTGAAAAATAGATATAGATGATTTTTTAATTACAATGGCATGATTAATATATATAATTTTTCTGAAATACATTTTTAGTCCTCAATTTTTCTAAACTTTTTGTTTTAATTTTAAAATTTAATTGTATTAGATTCTCGTCCCATTTTGTTTTAGTGTATTTTTTTAATTATTTTTATTAGTTAAAATTTACTACTTTAATTTTTCATTCTTTTTTAAATTCTCATCCAATTAATTTAAAATTTTATGGTCCTCAATTTTCTATACATTTTTTTAAAAATTTCAAACTTTAATTGTATTGTGATTTGATCCCATTTTATTTTAGTATTTTTTGTTAATTATTGTTATCATTTAAAATTTACTATTTAATTTTTCATTTTTTTAAATTCTCATCCAATTAATTTAAAATTATATTTACTGAAAATTTTGGTTTATTTTTCTATATGTATGGATTTTGGAATAAATTTTTAAAACATGATTTTTTTTAAAAAAAAATAGATTTAGATAATTTTTAAATTATAGTAGTATGATTAATATATATAATTTGTTTGAAATACATTTTTAGATTAAAAGTGTATTTCAAATAATTTTTTCCCTATTTTTTTTAGAAAAAAACTCAAATTAGTTAATTAATAATTGAAAGTTAAATGTGAAAAATAAAAAGAAGATGGTTGCTTTGCGCGTGAGACTCGTATTCAAAGACTAGCCATGCATAGAATATAAATAAAAAATTATTTAAGGAGGAAAAAAAAAGAAAAAAGAATTCACATGTTTTATTAATTTGTTTCTTCTTTATATAATAAAAATTAATCGAAATCAAATTTGTAATAATTTTTATTTTAGTAAATTTAGTCAATAGATTCATTACAAGTTAACTTTTTTTATAGTATTTTTTTTTTAAATTGAAAACTCTAAACTCACTTAGTATAAAATATTGAATCATTGTTTTTTTGAAATTAATCGTGCAACTAATACACTAAGCATTTATTATTTATTTAATTATTGAATATTTTAAAATTAACTTATTTTAAATTAAATAATTAAAATTATATTTTGGCTTAATCGCTCAATGATTCAAGTTAATATAGTTTTTTATTTAATATTATTCATTCTTTTGTAAATAAATATATAAAAATTAAATTCACATTTTCTCAAAAACCCATATTCTCATCAACATTAAATAAAAATGAAAAAAAAATTATTTATTGAATTCTATATAAGCTTTTAATAATTGTTATTTACGTTTTTCAACACAATCTTATGAAATACTAAAGCTTTTTTAAAAAAAATTATTTAATTTTTTTTTTTTTTGTTAATAATCCCTTTTCCTAACAAGGATAAATAATTTTTTTTGAAAGAAAAATTATGAACATCACAAATAAGAAATAAGTAAATACAAAATTTTTGATTAAAAAATAAAAAATAATTTTTTTCACCTTTGATTTTATATATTTTTATAGATTCACACCATAAAACAAACTATCAAACTTAAATGATTTTTCTAAACAATTTTATATATTTTATCCAACCCGTAACGTAACACAGACAAAAAAAACTAGTATGCTTATAAGGCTCATGAAGGGTACCTTGATTTTTTTAAAAAAAAAAACCAAACTCTTTCTTTTACATGTATGCATTAATAAAATAAAAAACATAAAACAAAAAAACTTTCTCATTTCACAATAATCCTTTTTCAATTTAACTTCAATCATTTTTCTGATTGATTCATTTCTTAATTAATCTTCTTTTTTTTTTCATTTTATTTCTTAATGGATCATACTAAAACCGCTCTTAAACTGGACCTATAACATATACCCAATAGAGAAGAAGTACAGCTCTCACTTAACGGCCCAGACATCATTTCCCATTAGGTTGCTTAAACGACAACAGTGACCGGAGACGAGAGCAATCCACTAAACAACTGAAAGTCCCTAAAAATGCTAAGTGGAACTTTATTCTGATCAACGAATTGAATTACGTAAGATGTCTACTTACACAGCATGAATAGATACAGGAAGTGGACTAAACCCTTGAAACCTATCATTCTAGAAAGATTAAAAAGAAACTACCCCACCTCAAATTCTAGACCTAAATGCATTTGCATAATTCATCTTGATACCAACCCAAATAAAACAGACTAGGTTAATCCATACTGAACAGTGCCCACATTCCTATGAGCAGCTACAGCAACAGCAGCAGCACCAACCGGTCCAAACTGGGATTGTGCATGCAGCAGTTTTGCATCAATGGCAATTCTCTCATTTAACTGCTCCACCCTAGCTTGTGGTTGGTAATATGGGTTGGGGTTCACATCCATGACCATCCCGGAGGATGGCTTGGCAGCCATGTTACATTGAGGAGGTTGATGTTTGGCTTGTGAATCTTTTCCAGGCTCAGAGATGGACTTCTCTTGCACCATTGTGTTAGTCCTGAAGAAGCAGTGTGGAGAGACGGTCTGGGGAGGGAGAACTGCATTTCTATAAACCATCCTTGCATCATAGGCATCTTTGACGTTTCTGCCATTCTCATAGGGTACAACAGATCCCACAACTCTCCCTGGCTTTGCTGTACAACAAAAGAAAATAAGGAAATAGTTAATCTCCTAAATGTTTAACAAAGCATGCTGGAATCCAGCCTGAGAAAACCAAAAATCCCAGGAAGCAGGAAAAGGTCTACAAAGACATGGTATAACAGTTCATAAAACCAATTAGGAAACTTGTACTTCCAAGCTTCCAACAAAAATTGCTTTCTGAAGCAATAAAATGGCATATATCTGCCAGGATAGGAACTAAACTAATCATGCATGAAAAAAAGAAGGAAACCAGCTCTGCCGTAAGTCACTATGGTATGATAATGACTCGACAACTCCCTACAGATGTTGGAGTTATCAAGTAGAGTCTATGCTTAACAACAGTAACTGCTGAAAGATGAAGCCCTCCAACATCTAACTGACAAAGAGAAACAACTTGCAGAGGCTTTAAGAGTCGTACAAAAGTTTTTCACACATTTAGCCATTTGGCTTGATTCAGGAAAAAAGGAAAAAAGACGTCTCTTTACAGAAAACAAGCAAAATAAGCATAAGTTATACCTGATGGTACTCGAGGTGGGGCCCTTGCAACCTTTGCTGGATTTCCAAAACTTGCATCTGATACTCCAAAATTTTTAGAAGCTTCTTCTGTAACTTGCCTGTTGTCAAATGAGGTTGAATTTGACTGCATGTTAGGAGGGATTATGTTAGAGTGAACAGTAGACCTGCAAGCAAAAGAAAAGGTTAAAAGAAAGAAATGCAAACATATTTATAGTGGAAGATCACAAGTATACCAGATAAAACAATACACTATAACCTCAAAACAGATAAATCATAAACCATTTTATCATCAATGACTTAAGAGAGCAACAGAACAAGTAATTGCAAAGTCATACCGTGGAAGTGAGACATGCTTCCTCTCTGGAGGTATCACTGGTCCACTTCTACCACTGTTTTCTTCAAGATATGCAAACTGCTTTCTAAATTGACCTATGGCACTGTATTTCGAAAGTACATACAATATAAACATAGAAAGGAAATGTTAGTAATTTGCCACTACTCAGAACAGGGAAAGATGAGCTATAGGTAGGAAGAATTTAGTACCTAGGATAGAGAAAATTAGTGCTTTCATTTCCATTCATGTAGTCTTTTAGTAGCTGTGGATGGTATTCCAGTATTTCACGGTGTAGCAGTTCCCGAACATCTTCCTTTGTTACCCTTCTCCTTTCAAACTCAAACTCCAACTTCGAGATTGGCTGACAGGAAGGTTCTCTCTCAACTTTGGCTAGGCCCTTAAAGTAAGGATCAGCTAATGCCTATAATATAAAACTTACATCAATCAGTACATCAGAAAATAAAGGTACGCATTGGCATGAGAAGCTCCATTCATCAATCAACAAGAATTGAATGCCAAGACACCATTATTATGTCAAGTAAATAAGACAAACAGACCTCTCCAGCAGTTGGTCGATCTTTTGGATCAAATGCTAGTAGCCTTTGAAGTAGCCTGAGTGCCAACGGATCTACATTTGGAAATTTCTGTGAAAATGGCACAGGCTGTTTTTTCCTCATTTCGGTCAGGTATTTCCTTGCCTTGTCATTTCGCACCTGCAATTTAATCCAATTCAAATTACCATCAATAACATGAAGGGGAAATGTTATAACCAACTGGGAAAGAGAGGGAGGGGAGAGAAAAAGAGTCATACTCCAGAAATGGTTTCTGATGAAGGCGTCCCAAGAAGATCGGTGATTATATCTAATTGATGAACAACACTTTTACCCGGAAACAATGGCTTCCCAGTCAATATTTCAGCAAAGATGCAGCCAATGCTCCAAATATCAATTGCTGGCGTATACTGCACACAAATACAAACAAAAAAATAAGTTAACAGGCAGATTATAGAGCTTCATACTGCAATTAAACCACTCCAGAGAAACAGACATAACCTGACACAGTTACCTGAATGACAGACATTTCAACTTCCAGGAGAGTTCATAGTCCTCCCTGAACAACAATTATTTTAATCTAGGCATTACTGCTAACTATAAAGCACTCAATCATTTTATAGAGAACAAAATATTTTGTTTCAACATTATGCTGTAGCTCATAACAAGGACAACCCATTGTACTATATTTTCCATTTGCTTCATATACAACAAAGCTTATTGTAAGAACAAGGAAATACCAGAAAGCTTATTTGATATGCTGAACAACAACATGATAACCATGGTGTTATTCAACAAAAGAAATAACCTTAGTGTTAACTGAAATAAATTACCATTGTCAAGCACTCTTTTAAAGTTTCTAATAATCAAGCAACAGTAATTACATGTGAACCTGTACCAAAATGTTGGTCCACTATAGCATATACCATGCTCCAACCAAGTTGGCTCTGGAAAAGAAAGGCCACACATGGCAGATATAAGCCCATACCTTTGAAAAGAAAGATCCACACAGCTCCGGTGCTCTATACCATCTCGTAGCAACATAGTCCTGTAAGATGAGTTTATTAAAGCAAACTTCCAAACTGAGAGATATTGGTCAACTGATATTTGCTATCAAATGCAGCAAAACATACCGTCCAAAAAACAGTTGTTGGTGTATCACTAAATGCTACTCTTGCCAACCCGAAGTCACATACTTTAAGCTTGCAATTTGCATTTGCCAATATATTCTTTGGTTTAAGATCTCTATGGTACACATTTGCTGCAGCCAAACAACTTTAGTTCAGAACAGAGGCAGATCAAAAGTACAAAAATTTTAAATTTAAAAATAAGGGCAGCATTTACACAGCATGCTGATTAGGCAGATAGGAATCATTCTTCTACTTATAAGATTAGAGATGGCAAATTTTGACCCAAAAATGGCATGAAAGACAAGAGTAGATAAGAAAGAAAGTCACCTGTATGCATATATTTCAGTGCACGTAACATCTGATAAAGAAAGAACTGATGGTGTTCCCGTGTCAAGTCATCATTAGCTTTGATGACTTGGTGAAGATCAGATTCCATGAGCTCAAAAACAACAAATATGTCTTTAAATTCTCTCTTTGAGGGTGGCAACATGATTCGCTTAATCTCAACAATATCAGGATGCCGTAAAAGCCTAAGTAACTTGACTTCTCTCAAGATTCGAATAGCATCAGAAATATGCTCAAAAACATCATTAATTTTCTTTATTGCCACTTTTTCTCCAGTATGAGTGTCAATTGCAGCACAAACAACTCCATAGCTTCCCTTTCCAATAACTTCTAGAATCTTGTACCTATTGGCATCCCCATACTCAGTGAAAAAGTCCATCTCTTTTAAGTCCTAAACAAGAAAAAAAAATTCAAATTCAAGCATCTAGAATTTGAAAACATGAACTAAGAAAAGCATATCGAAAAATTAACAAAAGAATAGAAAACATGAACACAAATGAACATATCCAAGAGCCTCTAGTAAAATGATGGTATACATAAAGAATTTATTATGAATTATGCATCAGATTACAATTTAATACAAGGCTCACAAAGTACTGAAAAAATGCTTGAAGAAAGAGAAAAGAGAAGCTTTCAATAATCAATAAACATGAAAAACATTCAGGGAAAAAGAATGTGAGGGATGAATGGCAGAGAAATTGCACAACATCAACTTTAGGGAACAGATCAGGTTCCAGAGTAATCACAGCTCAGCAATATGCATTAGTGAAGAATCAAATTCAGAATCTAATGGACTAGATTAGTGTCTAGGAATTGCAATACAACACACAAAAAATACCAAGACAAACACCTTTACTTTCTGGAGGGAAGCCACATCAGAGAGAACCAGAACCATTTATCTAACTAATAAGGATTGGGAACCAAATTTTCAACAAACATCAAACCTAAAATCAATCAATTAGGTTTCTCATAGTTTGGTAGATTGGAAATGGGGAATTTCAGCTTGCATTTGTTTCAGTAAGTACTAAACAGAACTGAAAACACTATATAATCCCAAAGCAACCAAGTGCTAAAAACAGATCATACTTCTGCATACAAGTAACAAAAGCAGTAAAATTCTAGTTAAAATTCATCTACAGCATATATAACCCAATCTCACCAGGTACATATAATTAGCTTAATTTTCAAATTTTAAAATAAATAATCAACAAATCCAAAGAATTAAATTAGTACACTAGAAGTAGTATCCACCAGCTTTTCAAAACCAAACCAATGGACCATGACCATAATTCAAATTAAGCATAATAACCCAATCTTAACACATTTACTTACTAATCAAATTAAGTCCAATATTCTCAAATTACAAAATTTCTTCCGTTATCCACACTTTGTCACCAACCGAACTGAGGATATCAGCAACCCATATCGTAATTCAAAAAAATAAAAAATCCCACTTCCCTATAACCAAACAGACCACCCTTGAAAATCAGATATTTCATCTTCTCTAAAGTTAAAGATTGCTTGCAAAAATCCTAAAACTCTTTTTTATCAATTGGGTGGTTGAATTTCCATTCAACTTCTTTCCGTTCAGTTCCTATTAATTAAAAGCAAAAAATTAAGGCCAAAATTCAAAATTTCCTAAATTGAATCAAAGACCCCAGATCCCAAAATCTTTAAAACAACGGAATTCAAAATTCAACAGCAAAATCAAGATCAAGATAAAAAAAGAGAGAAAGAGAAACTAACCTTCTTTGGATGATCTTGTTGCATCTTCTAGATTTTCGAAAACCCACCAGAAAAGAATAAACACAAACAACAAAGAACTTGTTCTCTTTTATCTCTTGTTTTAAACAAAAACAAAAGTAACTATTTCTCTTTTAAGATTAAAAAATAAAAATAAAACTAAACTGCATTTGCCCAACAACCGCCACAAAATCTATTTCCTTCTCAGTATCTGCTTCAAGGTTATCTTCTTTTCAAAAACCATCAAAACCCACTTCAAATTCTGCACTTTCTCACAAAAACCCCCACCAAAAACTCAAAAAGACATGAACTTTGAAACAAGAATCACTTGGATTGGTGAAATTTAGGAGTTTTCGAGGAGATCTGTGAGAACAAGAGACAGGTTTGTTGGATGGATCTGACTTCCGAGGAGAAGAGAACAATGGAGAGAAGGAGAGAGAGAGAGAAAGAAAGAAGAACAAGGAGAGGATCAAAAGGGCGTTACAGTGATTGTTTAAATAGCAAGGGGAAAATTAATTTGTCTTGTTATTTCTTACCTACTATTTACTCTTTTATATATATATATATATATATATATACACACACACGAAAAGAAAAGAAAACTCTTTCGGTGCTTTCTGTATGTACGGATCCTGGATACGGTAAATGACCGTATATTTTATAAATAATCTTCAATTAATATTAGGCCTTTTTAAGTTTTCGAGTTAATTGAATTTGTTTCCAATTAAAAGTTTATATAAATACAGGAAATTTATAAGAAAATCCAATTTATAAGGAGCATATGATGTCATTGCTTTAAATTTTATTGATTTTCTTTTGTTAGTTAGGGTTTCTTATTTAGTTGTTTTCAAATTTTAATTAATACTGATTTAAATAAAATTTGCACTAAACTTTTTTCTTTTGCATTAGGGTTAATTTCTTTCAACTTTATTATTTAATCTATTTATTCTCTTTTTCAATAATTTTGTTTTAAAATTGAGATTTATTTTTTTCATTGTAAATAAAGATGTTTTTTTCCCCTATTACTACTATTAGTATTATATGAAAAAATATATAGATTTGATAAAATTGACTGCTATAAAAAAAAAATAGAATACAATAATAAAAATGTCTTTTTTTTTTAGTGATATCACTTTTTCTTTTCTAATTATATTAATGATTAATGAAGTCTTACATTGAAAATAGAAATAAGAAATGGATAAAATTAACTGAAATTCAAATTTCATACAATAAAGTTGAAATTAATTAAGATCATAAAAAAAATTCAATGAGCTATTATTTCTTATATCTAACTTTTATGATATTAATTGATGTTGAAAATAATTGAGATGATATAAATAGATAAAGGTAATAACTTTTTATTTAATTTAATATTACTTCTGTTTTCTCTTTGACTAATAAGCGGTCTGTTGTTCTAAAAAAAATATCATGGGAGTTTTCTTTTTTTCGTTTCATCAGCTCTTAAAAAAAAAAAAAAAAAAAAAAAAAAAAAAAAAAAAAAAAAGTCTACTTTTTTTTCTCTAATTTATCCTGTATGATATATTATAAAAATAGTAATGTTTTTTAGGATTAATAGTTGCAGGAGTCTTTCAATTTTTTTTCTTAATTGCACCTTTCTATTCTTTTACCTTTTAACGTTTAGCTTTTGTTTTAAGTTCATCATCCTGCAATTTTTTTGGGGTTAAATTGCATCATTAACTTCATAAAATTGTGGCAAATGCCTTTTTTTAATTTAAATAAATGATTTTTGTGGAAAATTAAAAAAAACATTTATTTAAGTTAAAAATTATACACGCGTCAAAATTTTTAATGAAGTAATGGTGCAATTTAACGTCCTTAATTTTAAAAAGTTTTTTATACCTGGGGTAATGTACTCGAATTTATAAAGCAGAAGCAACTCAAGAGATACACTAGCCACGCATTCTATTGGTGCTCGTTCGTCCAACGGCCCAAAAATCCCATCAGTCGGTACCAACTTCATTCTTCCTTTAGAAACTCTAACACCTGTCTTCATAATCGCATACATCACGATTTATTGATCCAGTATGATCTTATGTTTGGTTAATGCTCATGTTTTATATATTGTCATCGAAAGTTTGAATTTTAAAAAAGAAGTGACAAAAAAAATATTATTATTTATGAATGCATCAATCTTGATATAAATAATATATTGAAACCTAATTTAAAATAAAATTATTTAACTTCTTAAGCCATAAAATAGAGAATTTGAACTATTGCATCATAATAACATAATTGGAACCATAACCCTGTTGAATATGTGATTAAGAAAAAAATATATATGCAATAGATTAAATAAGTAAAATTAAGTTATATTTTTACTTCGTCATGTCATCGAGTCTTTTAAGACTCTCATGTTATATAAAGTCAGATAGATGAAATTATATTTCATCCAAAAAAAAAAAAGAAAAGACTGATTTAGACTCTAATACCTATAAATATATAATGCTTCTGGTTGTAATAACATATTTTTTAATTGATTAAGATTACTTGACATCAGAACATGGATTTTTCTAGAAATTATGTGTTTTATAAAGACATAAACAATTTTAAAAAATAAAAATTAAATTAATAGAGTTGTGGGTTTGAATCGACGGCAAAGGACACTTCCTCTGTGAAACTTCAATAATGATCCTAATAAATAATATTTTCATAAATTTCTTAATTGAGACGTGAATAATTTTGACAAAAATGTGAGTAGAATCAAAAACATATTTGCAGCCCAGCTGAGTCCAGAGACCGAGTGACTAGAGTACAAAATTGGTGGTGACAAGCGAATCTAAAGGCTTGTCCCCAACTAAAAGAGACTGGTGGCAACAAAATTTCGCTTTGGCTTTACATCACTACCATTTCTTTGTTAGCTCCAGGGGCTGACAAACCTCTATACGGCAACTACAAGTTGGTCATACATGCGTCAATTCAGACAGCAAAACAATACCATCATATTACTGTTATTGCCTTTTTCTCATTCATCATGATCTGTCCAAATTGTGTCTCGACCGTCCAGTGTGGACCATTTCAAACAAAAGAATTCATATGGGTAATCATTTCCTCGAAATTTACTGCTCCAATTTTGTGACTTTCTGGCCATTACACAGGGATTGATAAGCCTACGGCTTCTGTTTTTCGTGTGATAACCTGGGGAAAGAGCTTGAGTGTGGCTGCAGAATCGCACCATTTTCGGGGTCTGTGTGATGTGTTTGCATGTGTTTGATTTTGAGGTTGTGGTTACAGCTAGGTGAAAAGATATTTGGATAGCAAATGCTATTAGTAATATATATACATTCAGCGAGGAGGCAAAACACTAAAATATATATATTATAAAGTTTAGAAATGGTAATTATGCAAATATCTTCTAACAAAAAACTAATACAACCTAATAGAGTATTCAAATGATAAGAAGTCTTAACAAAAAAGAATAGAAATAAGAAGCAAGCCAATCCACAATCTAATTTTTAAAAATTTTAAAATAATTACATGTTAGAAGATAAAATGAAAAGAAATTATTATAGGACAAAAACAATGGGAAAAAAAATAAAAGAAAGAGGATGAAAAACAATAAAAGGAATAAATTAAAAAACGTGGGGGGTGCAACTGTAAACATTTAAAGAGTGAGGATTGAAGAAAACAAAGAAAAAGGAAAAGTAGAAAGAAAGAAGAAAAAAATGCAGGGGTGCAATTGAAGCAATAAAAAGAATAAGGGTTAAAAAGACTACCAATTGATAAATACAATTAAAAAGGGAAAAAAAAGTCGGAGGATTGGAACCAAAGAGACGAGAGGGAGTTGGGGATTGAAAAATTTTCACTTACTCAAAACGATGTTGTTTCGACATTTAAGAGAGAAAAGATATGTCCTGCAAGTACAAAGCGATGTTGTTTTGCCCTTTGCTAGGCACTATTCATTTTCTTCCTTAGAAACAAATGCAATTTCATGGTTTTTTCATCCTCTTTTTGTTTTTTTTTAATCCCGCATAAAAACCCTCTAACCCTCTCTATCTCATACTTCTTGCCCTCTCAATCAAGACAAAGAACACACCTTCTTTCCTTGCTTTATCGTAAAAGTTATAGCAAAAGCGATGTAAAAAAAAAAAACAAACAAGTCGAACCGAGTCCCGAAACATGCTTCCCACATCCTTTAAACCAGAGGTATATGACAACTTTTAAGGGGCATGCAAAGGTCGAGACTTTTACCTTATGTCCAAGGGTCAAGGTTGAACCAATGGGGTAAGGTTCTAGACATTTTTCTTAGCACTATAAAGGATGGACTTTTAAGAAAAATTAAAGAGAGGAAAATTTTTTTTTTTTTGAAAGAGGATTGTTTTGAAGAAAAAAGAGGAGGAAGAAAAGAAAAGGCGAGTAAAAACAATAGATAAAAAAGAAGTTAGAAAGGATTAGTTAGTTTAAACATAAGGTGGTTGAAAACATTTATTGCCATTGTTAATCTTTGCCTTTAAACGGTATATTTCTACACCATTTTCTTTTGCTTATTTTTCCATTATTTCGATATTTAAGCATGTTATATAGAAGAGTTTTTTTGTTCTTGAAATTTATGGACACCGGGAGAGCTTGGTTGGTACTTGGCTTGGCTTGGCCGCAATCCAACTAGGCCTCTTCCTCTCTTCCCCTATTCCAACCATGAAAATCGTTTTTGATGGTTAAAGCAAACCTGTCATGGCTATTCGGCGATCTATTTATGTTTTATATAGTTTGCTTGGTTTTAATTCGGTTTATTCTCATAACTTGTGGTTTCTCTTTATTTTAATGATGTAATGAAAAAAGGTTATTTCAATTATACACCTTATTCAAGCATAATAAGGATTAAATTGAACCGATAAAATATGCCTTTTCTTTTTTTAAATAATTTTTTTTTATATTCTTGTCCTTCTATTTGTTGTATTATTTTGTTTTGATGGCTTGATTTTGTTATTTTGCAACTCGTACCCTTATTTTTAGGTAATATGGACTAATTTTTTTTTTAAAAAAATAAAATGTAATTTTCTTGAAAATTT